GTACTGGTATGTTAACACAAACAAACCCCAGGGTCCTCCTGGGCTCCTCTGTCCCACTCATCCTGTCTGCCCAAGTTTACAGGGACAAAATAAAACAAGCACTATGTACTTGTTTTCTTTCTGAATGATCCTGATAGAATGAGCAAATTGCTCAAATTGTGAATACTTAATTTTTGTTCTCTGAGGGTTTGAAATTTAATCTCTCTATTATTTGTGTGATTCTGAATTTTTTTATAGAAATTAAAAAAATAATACTCTTGTGAAACAGGAGATGGGTAAAAGCATGGCCAAAGGGCATGTCTGCATACACCTCTGTCTTTATTTCTTCCAAACACCTCCAGCAACGCAATTAAAAATATTGACAAAGAGGAGCTTGGTGATATATTTTTCTCTTTGAGATTTGTCTTCCAGGATTCGCCAAAAACACATGCCAAGCTGTGTCTTTCTCTAGAACAGTAAATCTTGTGAGAAAGAATCCCTGGTAAATTGTAAATAATACAGCTTACCAGGCCTCGGGAATCTCGTTCTCTCAGGCTGGCTTGGAATGAACGTGTTCTCTGGATGTCCACCAACAGTGGATGGAAAGGAGTCTCAGTAACTCTGTCGTGGACTGGGAGTGAATCTTTCCTGGTGGACCTAGTCTACATTCCTCTCATCTAGAAGGAAAAGGGGGAGGAAAAAATCACAGGAAATGGGTTTTATTGACTTTTCTACTAAAATCTGCCTCAGAATCTCACACACATCTTAGGTATTCTCCTGTGCTTGGCTTTGAGAGTGTCACCTCCTAAAGTTCCTCAGTGGACCTGCTATCCCACCCTTTCCCTTGGGCCCCTCCTTAGGCAGTGGAACCGGTTTGAGAAGCAGCTGATGACTGTTTCAATTTCAACTGATGTTCCTTATAAAACTAGCCCATCTGGGAGGTCACTTGTCTCCAATCCAGATGCAGTGGTTTGATTATTCTTGGCTCACACTAAACTTGGAAGGGAACTGAAGCATTAGGTAAAAACAAACCACACCTCCACAGCATAAGAAAGAACAAGTCACAGCTGTGCACACCAGTGTGGACAGATGTCACCAAAACAGAGATGGACAAAAGTGGCCTCCGTTTACCTGAGGTTCAAGAACAGGAAAGTGTGGTCTAGGGTAAGAAGGTAGGAAGTGGGGTTATTTTGGGGGCATTCTTGCCTGGTTAGGGCACAAAGGAGACTTTCCTGAGGGGCAGGAAATGTTTCTAGTCTTAGTCTGAAACCTCTGTAGGAAGTATACACACATAAAGTCATTGAGCTCAATTCTTAAGCTGTGTACCCTTTACTATACATATATTGTATCTCTCTCTTTTTTTTAAGGGCAGTTGTGAATATGACAATTGTCCACCGGGGGGAAAAAATCTAGTTATTTTCATGTGGTGGGTTAACATCACCAAACCAATGAACACAGTTGGGCAAAAAGAAAATTAAAAACTCTTATAAAATAAGCAGTTGATTTTAATGCCACTCATAAAAAAAAACCTAAAATAATATGAGCCCATCTTGTAGACACTGTGCTCTCAAGGGCTTCCTGATGTAAAGGGAGGACTCGCACACTGAGGGGTGATTCGATTTTTGTCCTTCAGAATGCTGCCAGCTCAGGAAGTGTCTGAGGAAGCAGTTTTCCTGACTTTTTGATAAAGGCAGTGGACAAATTGTTGGGTTTTTGCAGGGCTTTTTCCAAATCTATGTGACGATGCATGTGCAGGGTGTCAGTACCATCCATGCAGTGGTCTCTTGAAGCTAGGCTGCAGGAGGCCCGGACCTCAAGTCCCTATGCACAGAGGGCACTGCATCCCAGGACTGCCCCCAGAATATTCTCTTGGGGAATTTCTCCCTCTTATTCCCCTACCTGCCAACACTTGGTGTTATTGTGTTTAAAGGTTTTCCATGAACATCCAGAGTTCTTTCCTCTCTCTGCTTGGGCCACATCTCCTTAAGTTACAGAGCGGCCACAGTGAGGACACTGACTTGTCACTTTACCAAGAAAGTGGTTTCTCTGATTTTCTCCTCCTCTCCTCTCCTCTCCTCTCTGCTAAAACAGCAGCTTGTCTGACACAACTGGCAGGGCTTGGTGCTATAGAGACACAATCTTGCTCTGTCCTGGAAACTGTTCTATCAGGTCCAGGTGCTATAGGGAAGGAAAGCCTGGAGAGCTGAAAATATGGTGGGAAGGCACAGAGAGGTGCTTTGTGTGGGCACAGACGAGGCCCGGCACACTGACTAACGGGAGATTTGACCTGGACTGAGAGACAGCAAATGTGGTTGCAGGAGGCTTTTTATTCTTCATTCTAAAGGTGGAGCTGTGAGCAAGAAGAACCACTTTTATTCTCCACATCAGGTCCATAGTCTCTGCATGCACCTGAAACTGGAACATTCATGGGAGGCCAAGCAGCGGCAGGGACAGTGACCCCAGCACCCAGCCCTGGGTGGGGAGGTGCTCTGTAAATATACCTGTCTCAATCCTGGAGGGGCGAAGACCACCTAATACACACGGGGGGAGTGATGCTTCCCTTTCCAAGCAAGATAATTTCCAGACCGAAGTTTCAGAGCCTGGAACGTTCTCCTCAAAGCTACACAAGTTGTGAGATCAAATGCAAACAGATGAAGAAATGAAAGGCAAACGCCACTTCAGGATTGATGGGCACCTGGGTTGTGAAAGATAATAAGCCTATTCTTCACTTCCACTCCTGCTCCTTCCACAGTTTAGTCTCCTGGGGGGGCTTCCAAAGACTGGGAGAGGCAGGTAGGACAAAAATGACTGTTGTTCTGAGTAGAGGGACCCTGAGGTCTGTCCCCCTTCGCCCCGTCCATGCTGACAGTGCATTTGAGAACCTGGTTCTCCTGGTGCTTGCCTGATGGTGGGAGGGAAGGATAAGGACTCCTCTGGTCCCAGGCAAATTCCTGCAGAAGCGCCATCACCAGGTGGGCTGAGGAACCCACCAAGTCTGAAGTGCTGCCAGGCTGTGGATCAGAAACCCCTGCTTCCCTCCCCAGGTGTGGCTCGGCTGCCCAAGGGATCATTTTCTGTGCTGTAATTCAAAAGATCCAGAATCTGTCAAAATAAACACAAACCAATAAATAATAATAACAATAATTTCTATGTGCCACAGGAATGATATCTCTCTCACTGCCATGCTGAGATAACTTCAGGGAATTGCCAGTTTCTAGTTTCTCTCCCTCCTCCTTCCAGCCCCCCTCCTAACCTTCCCTCCCCCATAACCAGATCACACAATTCCTTGTGCCTACAGCATTGGCAGTCCCAACCTCCCTCCTCCCCGGTAAGCTAGTGTTCATTCCCTAACTCAATTAGTTCCAGATTCCCCCTCTCACCTTTCATTTTTCCCACTGTTCACTAGAAAACACTGTTTGAGTGTCTTTCCTGGTTAGCTGAATTATTCTGAGTTCCTAAACTTTCTTTCCTGTGTCCCTGAATGCTCGATGAAGGTAGCACAACTGGCGCGTTATCCCCACACGCTGCAGTCTGGATTAACGTCCAGATTTCTGCTTCCTCAGTGTCTGGCAGCCAAAGTAGAGGGACAACCACGCGTGGTTTGTAGGGAAGGTACTCTGCGTGTCTGGGAGGATGGCAAGCTGAGAGCAGGAGTAAACAGATGATATACCCAGAAAGCAAAAGGCGCTGGTCTTCCCGGGGGGAAATGGCCCTTTTTTGGAAAGGAAGCTACCCTTGACCACTTTGCCCTTTGCTGTCCCCAGACACTGTCAGGGAGATGGTGGGCTAGAAAGTCACCCCCAGGTGGGAACATATTTGGACTCTGTGGGCTCTTCCGGACCTCTGGGGAAACCCAGAGCTTCCCTCCTTCCTCCCCATCTCCCTAGGGTCTGAAGTTGGATTCCCTGATCTGGTCCGATTCCAGGAGGCAGACACCTGGTCTCCAGGAGATCCCTCTTTGAACGCTTTTGTTTTCAGCCCCACCCCAATGGCCTCTCCTCAGCCCAGCCCGCAGCCCTGAGGAAGCTCCTGGGAAGAAGCCCAGCGGGGAGAGGGAGCTGTGCCTGGGATCCTCAGGCGTCTCCAAATGGGCACCTTACGCAGGGTTGTGGGTCCACCAGCCTCTAGGGTAGCCAACATCATCAACAGGTAGGAGCAGCAGCGCTGGAAGCGAGGGAATTGGGGACTAGGGCTCTAATCTGGGGGTAAAGGCAGACTGATGCTCTCCGCAGAAGGTCAGGTGCCTCTTCAGGCCTCCTGTCCCCAGGGATCCTGCCGGCCACCCCTCTTCTGGACGACAGCGTTGGGCTTGGTCCTGACCAATCAGAAAGCGCAGGTGAGCCCCGGCCAGAGGAGGGAGCCAGGACACCCTTATCGAGCCAACATCCTCCGGGAGGCCTGCTCCAGGACTGGAGACGGACGCACAGGGGATCCCCACAAGGGGGCGGAGGGAAAGCCGGGAGGCCCGCGGGAGGAGGCAAAGTCCACAGCTGAGCGCCGGCAGCTGAACGCACTTGCGGCGCCCCGGCTCTGGGCAGCAGGTGGGGAGGAGGCTGAACAGCCCCTCGGTTTCTCCGAAAGTTTCCGGCGAATCCTTCTTGCTGAAGGTTCGCCTTTTGGAGGCGGCGTGTGTGCTTCCCGAGAGGGGGCCCCCTGCGCCGTCCCCCTGCCCCTGGCGCGGAAGGGTTGAAGGATAGCACACGGGGCTCCCCC